CCGAATGGGTACTGTGGAACCCATGGATATCTAATGTACCACGTGAAACCTGAAGTGCAGACTGAACTGGATGACCCACAAAACCTCTACCATGACGCACCTTGCCTCTAAAATAGGGATCCGTAGATCCTCCCTGTCTACGACGCATCTTAGCCTCCATGTCCTCCCTCTCTAAACCGCGGATGCACTCGATCCTCCTAATGATATCTACCACCTAATGAAATGAAGTATCAGTCTCCAACTCCCATGTTATCCCAAGTCTGAGACCATAAATGAAGCCCTCGATAAATCTAAGGACTCTCTATCTAATAGTAGAAACCAAAGCATGTGCATGACCAGATAACTCACTGAACCTCATAGCGTACTCAGACACGGTCATAGCCCCTGCTACAACTGCTCAAACTCGGTGCGCCATGCATCCCTGAGGGTCCGTGAGACGAACTCCCTAAAAAATATATCCAAAAATTGAGTCCAAGTGAGTGGCGTTGCATCAGCTGTCCTACCATCCTCATACACCTGCCACCAGATATACACTGCCCCTAACAGCTGAATGTAGTAAAGGCGACTCCGCTCACCTCCATAATACCCATGGTGCGGAGAATACGGTGACACTTATCTAGAAACCCCCACGTAACCTAAGTAACTGCGCCACTGTACTAGAAGAGTCATACTTCTTGAACCTCTCAAGTCTTCTCTGCTCCTCTTTTAATGCCTCTGGCCTGACCTCAGGATGAATCGCAATAACGGGTTGTACCAGCATAACACCCAAAACCTGATCAACATGAGCCTGCTGCTTTGGAGTACGTGTGGCAGGAATCTAAGCTCCTCCCCAGTTTGTGATGTAGCTGGTGCAACTGGAATCAATCCCGCCTGAGCCAATGGACCAAACATGCTCAAGAACTGCGCTAATGCCTCCTGAAGTCTAGGGGTAGCAAAAAGCGCCTCGGATGCCTGTCCCCCAACCAGAGCTACTGGTGGCTCCTCAGCTGCTGCTCTGGTAGTTGCTCTAGTTGTAGCATGTGCTCTTCCTCGACCTCGGCCTTTACCCCAGCCTCTAGCAACACCGACTTTAGGGGCATCATCATTAGTAACTGCAGCTCGTGTCCTCACCATCTGTGAGAGAATAGAATGACAAAGGCTCAAACTCCAAAATCAATAAATCCGCACTATAGGAATGAAGGAAGTGAAGTTTCCTAATAGTTCTGTAGCCTCTTAAAGATAAGTACAAAAGTCTTTGTACCGATCCCCAAGACTCTACTAAACTTCCTTATGACTCATAGCCCCTATGAACCTAGAGCTCTGGTACCAACTTATCACAACCCAAAATCCTACCTTATCATGATTGCACCAAGTCTCTAAGACTAGTTAAGACTAACACATGCTAAGAATTTAGCAGAATAACAACTAAGCTATAATTTTAGACTGATAAAGAGCATAAGAAAGCCAAAAATGGAACAACTGTTATACAAATCCCTAAACCGAAAGTACATAGCCATAAGCTCCACTAAAAGTAAGCAAAATTGAAGTAAGGCTCCAGAAGGTGACTCTGAGGCATACAAACGCAACATAAGGTATACCTAGAAGTCTCTGTAGCGTATCCCCAACAACTAAGTAATGAATGGCACGCTTCGAGGTACGTGGATCTGCACAAAAATGTACAGAAGCATAGCATGAGTATGCCACAGCGGTACCCAGTAAGTATCAAGACTAACCTCGATGAAGTAGTGACGAGGTTCAAGTCAAGACACCTCCTAGACATAATAACACGTGCAAAATATTAATATAAAGCTAACAGAGGAACAAATATCAATGTAAAGCTAAGCATGGAAAAAAATAACAATGTAACGCTAGCAATGGAAAGTAGAAACAACAAATAGCACCAAGGAGTAAACAGGTCATAATACAACAAGTAATCAGAACACGGTTAAAGTACCAGTGAAACCAATTAAGGAAAATAAATGGCAACCAAATAATCAACCGTTCTATCACAAGGTTTACACAAGAATCACCCCGAGGTACCACATCATAATCACAAATCACGAGTCTCAAATCACGAATCATAATCACATGGCTTCTCCTGCCCATATTATCAATCACAATCGCACGAACAACTCACATGTTGCACGAACAACTCACGTGCCAATACCATTAATACCTCATATCTGCATGGACAACTCACTTGCCACTAGTGACGATACCTCATATCCACACGGACAACTCACGTACCACTAGTAAAAGTACCTCATATCCGTACAGACAACTCACGTGCCAATAGTAATAATATCTCATATACGCATGGACAACTCAAGTTCCACCATTCCAATCCACACACTGAGCGCAGGTATACAAGAATACATGTTTATGATAAATAAATATCAAGATTCATACTCCTGGACAGATATAGGTGACATGTTATGGTGTATGGTTGTGCAAGTGTACTATCACAGCTCAAGTCAATAGGTAAAATTAGAGACACCGAGTAGCACATTGGAAAAAACACAACAAAACTCATAATATATATGACACACACAAGAAAGTCACTCCAACACAAAATTATTATCAATAACAATGCCCCCAGGCCATCAGAAATCATCCCCGACATAGCCCCCCTTGTGTCGCCACGTGAGCAATAATAAAGTAAATGCTCGCCTTGTCTTGCCACACGCACATCAATAATTATCCCACCTTGTCTCGCCACATGTGCAAACCCGATATANGACAACTTATATGAAAACACCCCGACAATCCTCTCAACAATTCTACATATGCCAAAAACACAACATAACAACTCTCACCACACGTGCCCATATGCCATAATATTGCCATAACAACAATACCAACAACAACAACACGAGACAACAATAAGTAAATCAACACAAGAATTACAAATACACAATGAAACAGAAGAATAAACTTAATAATGAAAGAGATAAAATGTAATAATGGATTCAAATAAGACTAACTCAACAATGAGTGAGATAACATGTAATAACTACTTCAAATAAGAATAACTCAACAATGAAAGAAGTAATATGTTATAAAAACTTCAAATAAGAATAATTCAACAATAAGAGAGGTAACATATAATATCAACTTCAATTAAAGCATGTAAGAGTGAACTCGACAATGGAAGATATAATATGATATAACTATTTCAATTAAATGCATATAATAACCTAAGAGTCTAAATCGATCAATTTTTACATATAAGGTCGTGTACACACTCGTCACCTCGTGTACACGTCTTCCGCGTAATTCAAATAGTGCAATTAAACCTATCCCTACGGGGTAGTTCTCCAAACAAAGTTAGGCAAGATAGTTACTTCAACTAGGCCAAATCAACACTAAAAAATAGCTTTTCCTTTAAAATTAACCTATGTTCGGCTCAAATCTAACAAAAATTGATTTAATAACATCGAATAATGCAAAAGAAACCAATTCTAATAAATAAAGTTAACATCTTTACAAAATTCCCCAAAAGTCTACAAAGTCAACCCCGAGCTTGCCCGGTCAAAACCCAACTCTTAAGGGTAGATCTCGACTAACCATAATCCCACGAGTCCATATATGTGTTTTGTTTTTAAATCCGAGTATAGCTCGACTCTCAAATATTTTTCAAAACATAGACAAAATCCCCAAAAAATATCCCTTCAAGTCTCATGATTTAGATGTTAAATCTCATATATAATCGAGTAATATAATTGAAAATTGATCAAAATCACTTACACAATAGTTTTATGTGAAAATTCCTCCTCAAAATCGCCTCCTACCGAGTCTAGGGATCTAAAATATGATAAATGAAGCTAAGTCACATATTTCAGCCCTTTTGTTCAGGTGCAGAAGTCGCAAATGCGAACCGTCGCAAATGCGGACAATCCCTTGCAAATGTGGCACCTGATGAACATAGGTAAAGTCACAAATGTGACCCTAACTTTGCATTTGCGAAGTCAGGCCCTTCGCAAAAGCGATCCTAAGATCGCAAATGCGATCATGGCAGCCAAGTCCACCCATCCCAAAAGTGAAAGAAAAGTTTACAAATGCGAACTACCACGTTTCAATGAAACTCGTAAATGCGATCCCCTCCTCGGAAATACGAGGTTCCCAATGCGATCAATATCTTGTATATAAGAGACCTGAGGCACTAGAAAAAATACCAACAAAACCTGAAACCACTTAAACACTTCGGAACACGTCCAAAACTCACCCGAGCCACAGGGGCTCCACACCAAACGTTCACACAAGTACAATAATATCATACGAACTCATTCATGCAATCAAGACACCAAAATAGCATCCGAAACCATGAATCGCACCTCAAATCCCACGAAATTTACATAGAAACTCAAGAACTTCTAAAACCAACCCCACGCGTATGATTCCTATCAAATCAACTCGAAATGATGCCAAACTTTGCAGACAAGTTCCAAATAACAAAATAAATATATTCGAAGTCTCAAAAACATATTTGAACCCGATAGCCATAAAGTCAACCTGCGGTCAAACCTAAGGAATTTCTAAACCTTCAAATTGCCGGAGCCATCGAAACAAGCCAAATCTACCTAGGAACCTCCGAATTCAATTCCACGCATAAGCCCAGGTCCAAAATCACAATACGAACCTACTGGAGCCATCGAAACACTATTCCGGGTTTGTTTCCACAAAAGTCAAACCTCTGTCAATATTTCCAACATAAGCTTCAAAAATGAGAATCATTCATCCAAATCAACCCCAAAATATCCAAAAATCGAAACCGACCATACACGCAAGTAATAATATACCATTTGAAGCCACTCAAGACCTCGAATCACTGAACGGAACACTAAAGCTTAAAATGGCCGGTCGGGCCGTTACACCAACCTTTCTTCCAAATGAAGGACCATGTCCTTCCAGCCTTGTATCTCCAGTTTTTTCAGCAGCAAAACCATACCTTCTTCTTATAAATCAGTAAGGAGCCTCCCTGTCAAAATGGTTCTTTTCTGGAATTTCACCAATTTATCCTTTTATTCATCAGTCTCCTCTTCTTCACTTTCTTCCTCCACTATTTGAACTTTCCTTGATTTTCTAGCATACCTGGTTCTTTTGAACAAGGCAGACTCCTCTATCTTAACAGACTTTTCTGGAGACTTCTCCTCAGAAGTTTTTATCTTTTTAGAAGTGGGAGTCACAACCTCCACTTCCTCTGCCTCGTCCTCATCATGAAGGACCAGGTCCATCTCTTCTATCTGAATTTCCTCACTTGTCTGTCCATCATTTTTCTTCCCCTTGGCAGCAGCTTTCTTGGCACTTTCAGGTAAGGCCTTTTCAAGTTGGCCTAACTTTGCTTCTTCTAGCTCCTTATAGTTTTTCCTCTTGTGGGAAGAGTCTCTAGAGGGATAGAAAAGGCAGCCTTTCTCTTCTTGCCACCCATTGCCTTTCTAGGGATTTTACTCATGCACTCTTCTTCTTCTTTGGATTTTAACTATCAGAAACTTTCTGCAGCATGTCATGGAGGTGTTGTTTTCTAGATAGAACATCTTCTTGGAACCTTTTCCTCAACCTTACCAGCCCCTCCGCTGCAGTAGTATCCCCAGAACCACTACCTCCAATTTCAACACTTTCTTCCCTATCAGTACTCTCATCACCCCATAACACCATTGCCCCTGTTTATTCAGTCAGACCAACAAGAGTGGGTGAAGAAGGTTCACCCACTTTTACTTTCCCCTTTCCCCTCACATCTACATTACCACCCTCACTCTCCTTTTCTATTCCTTTTTTTATTTTTACCACCAAGTTTTCCAGACTCTGTAGTTTCTACACGAATAATAAAACCGACCATCACAATCCTATTTTAAGATTCTCACCAATTTTAGAAGCAACATCAGAAGTTTTAAACCCAGAGGTTACCTGTTAAGTTTTAGATGAAACTGGTTCTTCCCCCTCAGTCGCAGACTTGAAGGATTCATCAGATTTTTGGGGTTCATCTGCTTGGTTGGCCTACAATTTCTCTTTCAATTTCTTGGCTTGTTTTCTACTAGCCACTGTTATTCATGCAAGCATCTTGACATGCTTTTTCTTGGGGGTTTCGGTGGTTGAAGGTGTGGGTGAATGTTCTTTGGGTGGTGAGGAAAGGTTCCCAATTTTCTTGAGCTATTCAGATACGTTTTCCATTTGATTAGTGCAGGTAGATGAAGAATTTCGAGAGAGGTTTAGGGTGTAGAAATTTTGATCTATAGAAAATGAGAGATGAAGAAAGAAGATAAGGTCAAATTAATTTAAGAAGGAAAACATGAGTGTATAACGACACCTATTTGGAGGTTAGAAGTCTAATCAACTTGGGAGTGTCGGTTTGAAGGGACTTTGGACTCTTCCCCAAATATTTAGGAAATTATGGCGTGTGGGTCTCTTGGTGAAATTGGTTCGTTTGTAACTGATTGGTTCACAAGGAGTTTGGGATAAAGTGGGACTCAAATCATGATCCATTTGCAGTTATTTCAAATTATGCAGAGTGTAAAACACATATCTTATAAGCTCGATTAACTAGGTTCTTCACTGAAAGTTCTCTTGTGTAAGACGCGATGAACTAGGTCCCTCACTAAAAGTTCTCTTGTGTAAAACTGATTTTTTTTCCATGAAATTAGAAATAATATCATTAGACATCAGTGAGACATTTTAGCACATGGCAGAAGAGTATATAGTAATAAAAGTATGAAACTGAGCAATATCTAATCTAATTATTTATAAAATTCACAAATTATCTAACCAATCATTGAGTTAGAATCGGTTTCTTTTAGGTGATCTTAATCATTCCTAATTCTAAATTGTTCCTTTCAAAGTGATCTCTACTCAAATGTTTTGTGAAGATGTCAGCAATTTGCCTATTAGTAGCACAAAATTCCACAGTGATCAAACCCTTTTTATGTGCTTTGTTCTTTAGTGATGAACCGGGTTCTTGGTCATACTGATTGCACTAGTATTGTCACAAAATATAGGGATACAACCTACATCGATTCCAAAGTCCATTAATTGTTGTTTAATCCACAACAATTGAGCACAACATGAGGCAGTAACCACATACTCAGCTTCAGTAGTAGATAAGGCCACATAATTGTGCTTTTTGGTGTCTCGAGATATAAGACATGAACCAAGAAAATATGTCATACCTGAAGTACTCTTTCTATCAACAAGAAAACCTGCATAATCAATATCAGCATAACCCACTAAATCAAAATTATTACCTTTTGGATACCATAGCAAAGATCAGTTGTGCCTTTTAAGTATCTCAAGATCCTCTTGACTGCCTTCAAGTGTGACTCCTTTGGATTTTCCTGAATCTACACAAATGCCTACACTAAAAATAATATCAGGTCTACTTGCAGTGAGATATAACAAAGAGTCAATCATTCCATATACATCTTCTGATCAACAGATGAACCATGTTCATCCAAATACAATTTCGTGGTTGTTGCTATAGGAGTGTAAATTTCTTTGGAATCTTCAATCTTAAATATTTTTAGCAACTCTTTCACATACTTTTGTTGATGGATAATAGTTCCATTTGAATCTTGTTTAATTTGTAAGCATAAAAATAAATTAAGCTCACCCATCATACTCATTTAAAATTCACTTCCCTTTAGCTTAGCAAACTCTTCACTTAACCTATAAGTAGTTATTCCAAATATTATATCATCAACATATATCTGAACAACAAAGAGATCTTTACCTTTTATTTTCAAGAATAAAGCATTATCAATTTTACCTCTCTTGTAGCCATGCTCAAGCAAGAATTTGGACAATCTTTCATACCATGCTCTTGGAGCCTGCTTGAGCTCATAAAGTGCCTTGTCAAGCTTGTACCCATGTTCAGGACATTCTTTGCTTTCAAAGACAAGAGGTTGCTTGACAAACACTTCTTTTAGATAGCCATTAAGAAAGTCACTCTTGACATCAATCTGATGGAGAGTGAATTCCATGTAATCAGCAAAGGCTATAAGGAGTCTGTTTCTAATCTTGCAACTTGACAAAAACTCTCATCATAGTCTATGACCTCCTCTTAACTATATCCTTGAACCGCCAATCTTGTCTTGTTCCTTGTAACTGTTCCTTCTTCATGAATTTTGTTTCTGTAGACCCATTTAGTGATAAACACCGTTCTGTCCTTGGGTCTTGGTACCAAAAGCCAAATTTGACTTCACTAAAATTGGTTGAGTTCATCATGCATTGCATTCAACCAATTTTCATATTGCAAAGCCTCAGAAACATTGTTAGGTTCAATAAGAGACAAGAAAGCATCAAAAGCACAGAGATTCTTTAAAGAAGATTTGGTTTTGATTCCAGATATTAGATCAGTGATTATGTTTCCAATGGGATGAGAACTTTGATTCTTGTAAGGTTTCACAACCAACTGGTTTTCTCTAGATGTTCCTTCAGTGTTTTGTTATTGAGGAACAGGTTCATGGACAGGTTCCCTCGAGGTTTGAGGATCAGTTTTTCTCTGGTCAGTTCCCCCTATAAGGTTCCCCTGGATGGAAAGACCTGTTTCATCACCTATCCTTTCCCGTGATGTAGTTTTAGGTTGGAATGTTGTTTCACCATTTGAATTTCTTGTCAGTCCAATTTCTTCATCATCTTGTTCCTGTCTCTCAGAAAGAATGTTAGTTTTATCAAAAACAACATGTAAACTTTCTTCTACACACATAGTTCTTTTGTTGTATATCTTATATGCTTTACTGTGTGAAGAATATCCCAAGAATACTCCTTCATCACTTCTGGGATCAAACTTTCCTAGGGAGTCTTTTCCATTATTGTGCACAAAGCAGTTGCATTCAAATGCCCTAAGATGTGATATATTTGGGTTTCTCTCTTTAAGTAACTCATAGGAAGTTTTCTCAACAATAGGTCTAGTCATGCATCTATTTATGATGTAGCATGCAGTGTTCACAGCTTATGCTTAGAAGCTATGAGGCAACTTACTAGAAAGTAACATGGTCCTAGCCATTTCCTCCAAAGTCCTAGTCCTTCTTTCAACTATTCCATTTTGTTATGGAGTTCTAGGTGCAGAAAAATTATGATTTATGCTATGCTCATCACAAAATTCAGAAAATTTAGCATTCTCAAATTCAGTACCATGATCAGACCTAATTGATGCAAGTTGATTACCTAGTTGTTTCTGAGTTTTTCTAACAAATGAAATGAACATTTCAAATGCTTTATCTTTAGAAGTTAGAACAATGTCCAAGTAAACCTAGAGTAATCATTAACAAGCACCATAATATATCTCTTATCACCTCTTTTCATTGTCCTCATTGGTCCACACAGATCTATATGTACCAGCTCCATCGACATGGTAGTACTTACCATTTTCTTACTTTTAAAGGAGGATCTTACATGCTTCCCTCTCTCACAAGCCCACAAACTTTGTCTTTCTTGAACTTAATGTTAGGCATCCCTATCACCAAGTCCTTGCAGACTAGCTTGTTAAGTTGATTCAGACTTACATGTCTAAGTCTCTTATGCCAAAGAAGGGGATCACTGTCCAACAAACTTAAGTAGGTGAGTTCATTATCTGAGAGTGTGGACAAATCTACCACATATATGTTGTTCACTCTCTTTCCCTACAAACCTATTTTGTTAGTGGTCATATTTATCACATAGCATTTTGTATAGGTGAAAGCTACCATATTTCCTCTATCACACAGTTGTGATACATTTATCAAGCTGTATTTCAGTCCATCTATTAGGTAGACATTCTCAATAGAGTGAGAGTCAGATTTACCTACCTTCCCAACTTCAATGATCTCACCTTTCTTTCCATTTCAAAAAGAGACATTACATCCTTTAAGGTCCGCAAGTGAAAGGAACCGGTTCTTGCTTCCTGTCATGTGTTTTGAAAAACCACTATCCATGAACCATATTTGGCTGCTCTCCTTCACTTGGACCTACAAAGGGAAATCAGGCGTTAGTCATAGAAACACAAATTAGTTTGGGTCCCTTCTATAGGCAAAAGGATAAATCAGAATCTTTTATGCCCAACTTAGAAGCCAATTTTTCCCACGAACAAATTTTTTGTTCCTTAGACTTGCTTTTTCTTTTGAAGCACATTCACTCTTAAAATGTCCAATTTTACCACAGTGAGTGCAAATCTTATTCTCAGAGAGTGTGAGGTACTTGCTTTTGGGATCCCATTTAGGTGCAGTGTTCCCAAAGCAAAGTCCCCTTTCAGGTGCTATTATGGTGTTCTTGTAGCCATGATAGTGCATCAGAGGACCTGTTCCTTTTACATGTTCTATCCAGCTCATGCTTAACCTTAGTCAAGTCCTCTTTCAAAATTCTTACCTGATCATCCCTTTTATATAACTCATCTTTTACCTTTCCTAAATCTCCTTCTAATGTGAGTTCTCTGTCACTAGCTATTTCCTTACTTGTTCCTAACTTTAATTTTATATTTTCAGATTTAAGTTCTAAAACAGTTGTATCAAGTGCACGAAGTTGGTTCTTCAAAATAATATTTTCATTTTCAGTTTCACAAGCCCTAAGTTTCAGATTTTTGCACTTTGCTTTCAAAATGACACACTCCTTTAACAACTGTTCCTTTTCATTATTCACATCTTCAGATTCATCAATTAACTCCAGCAGTAATTCAGATAATCTTTCTTTAGATGGATACTTTATCTTACCTTTTAATTAAAAGACAATTACCTCAGGTTCTTCATCAAATTCTCCAATAGCCATTAGAGCTCAATCATCATCATCATCATCTTCCTAGCTCTCATCTGAGCTATCTTCCCAAGCAGTAACCATTACTTTGGTTGATCCTTGTTGTTGCCTTTCTTGGGATGAACATGTTCCTTCTTCCCGCTCCTTCATTCAGCTCTTTCCTTTTTTTATTCGATCTACCACAAGGGACAGTTCTTTGTCAAGTAATCAGTCATTCCACATTTATAGCATCCATCATTTGTCTGCTTCTCTAGAGTTTTGGCCTTGTTGTAGCTTCCACTTCTTGAAGAACCATTTCCTCTCCTTAGGTACTTCTTGAAGTCTTTGGTAATCATTACCATTTTATCATCTTCTAGATAAAAACCTTCAGTGATTCTGAGTACCAGACTCCTTTCCTTCTTAGGTACATCCATCTTCATGGTTTGCCTTCTAAGTTCATAAGCTTTTGAGATTTCCAATCAACTTATCCAAAGGAAGTGTAGCAATGTTCTTTGATTCCTACATGGCAGTGACATTGCTTTCCCATGTGGTTGGTAAAACCCTAGTTATGATCTTCTCAGTCCTTTCTTCTTCAGGGATAGTCCTTCCAAGAGACTTTAGTTCATTTGTCAAGGTAGTGAACCTTGTGTACTTCTCCTGAATGGTTTCTCTATCTCTCGTTGCAAGGTTTTCATATTGGGAAAACAACAAGGTTCCTCTTGATCTTTTTGCCTGAGTTGTTCCTTCATGGGCCACTTGCAGTGTGTCTCATATTTTCTTGGTAGTGGAATAACCTTGGATTATGATGTACTCATCAGGACCAAGTCCACAGACAAGAAATTTCTTGAGCATTTTTCTCCCACTTCTTCAAATCCTCAGCATTGTAGTTAGCTCTTGTCTTTGGAACATCATTACCTTCAGCATTTTTCTTCACTATTGAAAGTGAACCATCAGTAATTATATCCCATAGCTCGTAATCTTCTACCTGCATGTGATCTCCCATCCTTATTTTCCACCATGAGTATTACTGCTCATTGAAGAGTAATGGCCTAGCAGTAGATTTTCCTTCCCAATTTTCAGGTGGTGCACTCATCTTGATCTTTTCCTAAGGTGTTAGACTCTTCAAGGATAATCTGCTCTAATACTAATTGATGTTTTATACTTCAATACCATACAAGAGGGAGGGGGGATAAATTGTGTGGTGTTTAATTTTCGCATGCACTAGTTTATTGAAGAACCTGGTTCTTCTATGTGTTCCTTAATCTACTATTACAGAATAAATAATGCAGAAAGTAAAGAACACAAGTATTTTTGCGTGGATAATACCCGGCTCAAAAGGTGAAAAAATCATGATTTACTTCCTGGTAGGATTTTTCCCAAAACGTCACTACAACTCTGAGCCAAACAACAATGTTTACAACTCTCTTCTAAACCTAAGGATTAAACACTAACCCTTGTAGCAACAATCTACAGGCTGTTGCGACTGCTTCAAGTAAACTCTAACTTGAACAATACAACTCAAGTACCTAAAACAAATGCTTCTAAGAAAAGCTGAAAGGTAAAACTCAAAAGCCCCTACTACAATTAAACTAGAATAAAAGATAGACACATGAAATTGGTTCTTCAATCTGGTTCATGTAGCTTCACGTTCGCACTCTTGAAAGTCAAGGAATTGCTCACAAAATACCTTGCTATTTTGCTCTCAATTTTGCTTTACTTCATTGTGTGTGCATCACCTGTAAAAGAGAACACGACTGATATATATNGAAGAGTTCTAATTATCTTCAACTTCTAAATATTTTCCTATCTTGGATAGAATTCTCTTCCAGTAAAGAGTCCTATTCACGACCCCAATTTTCCTCCGTAGGATGTCGTGATGGCACCTAGTCTCTAAGACTAGGTAAGCCTAACATACATGCAGAATTTGATTGAGATAATGATAAAAAGTTCAAATTAAATAACCACAATCATAAAAAGAACTCTGCAACTCAGCAGAACAAAACTCCCAAAATCTAGTGATACCAAATCACAAGCTCTACAAGAGTATACTAAGCATCCATATACAACAGTATCTATAATAAGGGTTAATGAAATAGAACTAGATAGAGGGTGAATCCGAGGCCTGCGGACGACGGCAGGTATACCTTGAAGTCTCCAAATTCGAGCTCGATTCACTAGTACCTAGGCTGGTAAGAGGTACCTTGATCTGCACAAAAAGATATGCAGAAGCGTAGCATGAATACACCATAACAGTACCCGATAAGTGTTAAGCCTAACCTCGGTAGAGTAGTGATGAGATCAGGTCAAGACCCGACTGGAATAAATAAGAAAACTGAACAAGTATATGATAGTGTGATAATGATAAACAATGGAAATGAAATAATGAAGAAATATACCAAGAATAGCTACATTGAACTAAGGCAATTAAGACATCACGGAAGAAAAACAAAGGATAAAATACCAAGGAAACAATGCAAACAAACACAAGTGATGTTATTCAAAGGTATCAACAAGAATCACTACTGAGGTAACACCTCGTAGTCTCATTTCACAAATCAAATCACAATCTTTCCATACATCACCGTGGGAGCCTTGCATTTAGTTTTGAAAATCATTTTTTCCCGAAATAGCTTTCCGTGTTTTAGCCCACCTTATCACACCGTGTGTGTTACACCCCATATTTTCGTACGTGAGAGTACGTCATAAGTCAATTGATGTAAGCTCTGAAGTGAGATCATCTTTGAAAGTACATAAAGTAAGTTAATCATATTAACTTGGAGGTTACAAATATTTAAGATCATGGACTGCAAGTACCAAGAGGGTTGGAAGGCTTAGAAGCTAAACCAATTGAAGAAAATAAGTTTCGTCGAAAGTCGACAAATTGGGAATGTTATTACATGTACTTTTGGGATGAGACTAGGGTGCTTAACATGATAAGGAGGTTATGTTATGAGTTATGTTAGTCGTCTGATATTCGTGTGTTATGTTTTGAAGTCAAGCGAGTTGTGGAACAAAAGTCGATGAAAGTCATCACAAGTTACATTCATAAGTTTTATTGAAATTTAGGTCAAATGTAACTGCAATTTTCTCCCAATATACTTATAGTTATGGGGTGTTCCACCCATCAAAGTGAATATCAATGAGTCTATTTTCTAACGCATTAAACCATTTGTCAATACGACGTTGGAGTATAGAGATATATGTATTTTCGCAAGACTGCGCAAGCTGCTAGGTGACAAGTAGGTGTGTCACCTACTTGCTTAAATGAGAGTCCGAAAATGGGCCAGATCGGGTCGTCCAAAGAGACCTTTTAAAGTCCTATTTTATTCATATAATACACTGATAATATGGCGCAATAACCAGACCTGAACCCCAGCAAACATTCTCTCAAACATTGCACACAAACCCTAATTGAATTTCTCCCCTTTTCAAGTTCTAGTTGGAAAAACAACCTTGAGATTGAAGAACCAAGATAGGAGCTGAGTTATTCAACAAATAAGGTAAGTTTACTGCTCTCTTTAATCCATTTTTTCTATTGTAGATGAATGAAAAGTCGTTCTATAATTGTAAGAACTCATGGGACGGTGATAGGAAGCCGTGAGTTCGAGTTATTCATTTGTAGCGGACTATTTTGTGGACTGTTTTATGTTGCTATTGGATTGCATGTTTTACTACTATTTTATGGATTTTTGGAGGTGGAAGGGTGTGTATAAACACCATATAAATGTAGGGTGGTGGGCTGGTTGTTCGTCATAACATTTTCGGGTTGTTTGACACTACTACGGTTGTCGTTTTATGTATGAAGTGATTAGGGTGTGTGAGCTGTTTTGTGGTATATTGTGATGGAGATAAGGTTGGAAAATGATTCATACATATTGTTATTGTTGTTTTCTTGTTGTTGTTAGTATAGGGTATTGGAGGAGGTCCTTGTTACAGGGGAGATGCTGTCCAAATTTGCGTTAACGAGTTACTAGTTTAAGTTACGGATTTAGCCTTTACTCAGCACTGATTTTGAATCTTCTTATGTTGTGGTAAATTGAGTTGAGTTGTTTGAAGAATTGCTTGGAAGGTATTAAGGACTCAACGGAGTTAAGTTATGTTAAGGCTAAACCTTTCTTTCATTTTGGCATGATCCCATAACTATATGCATTTGATAACGAGGCATAAAGAGAAGTTCTTATTCCTGAATTTATGTACATTATCCTAGTCTTATAAGCTACAGTATTCCCCCTTATCGGGACTTCATATTCATTTTAGTATTATCTTCTTTCAGTCAAGAGGGTAGAGGGTCTATATATATACAGTATTACAGTATTTTCACCACCACCGAACTATAATCGGTGGGCAGGCCCCTATTGGGCAACCTTTGATCAGATGGTAAGTTATATACCGAGCCTATTATGGCCGAGCGCCTATGAGTGAGCCCAGAATGGCCGAGATACAGAGCCTAGTATGGCCGAGCACCTATGAGCGAGCCTACTACAGCAGAACAGTTACACATACCGATCCTTATAGGACCGGACATCTATTTTACTTACTATATTGAGAGAGATTAGTCAGTATCAGCAGGTAAGCATATCTTCAATTATATTTGACTCCCATGTACTTTCAGTTATTATATTATCAGCTTAGTTTCAGCTTTCAGTTATTTTGTTTCCTTACATACTCAGTACATTATTTCGTACTGACGTCCCTTTTGCTGGGGACGCTGTATTTCATGCCTGCGGGTCCTGATAGACAGTTGGATAGACCTTTCCAATAGACAAAGTCAACATCAGCTTGGTTGGTAAGCTCCACTTCCTCGGAGTTACCAAGTGTATACCTTGGAGTCCATTTTATATATACAGGTTTGATGGGTAGGTCGATGTCCTGTCCCGACCATGATACAATTCAATTATCTGTAGAGGCTTGTAAATGAGTCCTGTACATTTTTTATATCGGTATTGTGGCTTTACCAGCCCTATGTAGATGTTTAGTTTGGTATTTCTGGTTGTAGACGTTATTTTCAGATAATTCAGAATTTAGCCTCATCGGCCTAAGTTGAGGGTTACCCCTCCAGAGTTCACAGTTTCAGAGTGGTACGCTCCGGCCGAGTATGGCATCAGGAAGCCTCTTCAGGTTTGGGGCATGACAGTGTGGCTTCAAGTAGTTCCCCTACAAGCAACATGCGTATCAATCCCACTTTATCTCACCGCAAGCGTTTCAACCCCCAATCCTTATACCACCGCATGCGTATCAATATCACAACATAACACAACACGCACCTCAAGTGCCCGAAACCACAACTTGCCAATGAAATCAACAATGATAGTGTTTCCAAAATAAATAGCCCATGGCTCAACCACAATATATACAAGAGTCTCAACAATAGCAACCGAAAATGAATAACTCAACAAGAATTGTATTTCAACAAGATTACAACTTTGCCTCAATGTGAATCACAACCTTTATAACTTCAACACCAAATTCAACATCAAGAATTAAATAACAACTTCAAGTAAAGGTACTCAACGGTTAACAATGAATAAGAAATGGAGAGAACAATAACTTCAACTAAACATGTAAAGACAATTAGTAACTAAAAGATAAGACAAGTATTAACGATGTCAAGTAAAGCATGTGAAGATAGACTAATGATGATGAATATAACATATTATGACAACTCAAATAAAGGCATGAAAGGAATCTACATAGCTAAAACCGATCAATTACCACATTTAGCCCGTGTATACACTCGTCACCTTGCGTACATGGCTTCCACATGTCACAATTAATACAAAACAATACCAATCTGAAGGGGTAATTCCCTCACACAAAGTCAAGCAAGACATTTACCTCAAAACACGCTTACTCAATCCAGTAAGCCTTTCACGTGATTATCCAACTCAGAACGGCTCGAATCTAGCCAAAATGACTTGATACCATAAATACAAACTATATGAAGCTATTCCGAACAATAAAGTTGCAATCTTTAAAGAGAAAAAAAAAAGTAAACTCAAAAAG